AGCAATGTTTGAGAGCGTGGCTACTCCATCAGCCCAGATCCTGACATGAGAAGTTGCGGGTGGAGTGGAGCCCGCAGACAGCCCACAATGGCCATGTCATAAGAGCAAAAAATAAACTCATTATTATAAACCTTTAAAATTTGGGAAGTTTGTTGGACTTCCCTGGTGGCGCAGCGGTTAAGAATCTGCCTGCCAATGCAGGGGACATGGGTTCAATCCCTGATCCAGGAAGATCTCACATGCTGAGGAGCAACTAAGCCCGTGAGCCACAACTACTGAGCCTGCGTGCCACAGCTACTGAAGCCCTCACACCACAACTACTGAAGCCCGCAGGCCTAGAGTCTGTGCTCCTCAACTAGAGAAGCCACTGCAAAGAGAAGCCCGTGCACTGCAACAAAGAGTAGCCCCCGTTCGCCACAACTAGAGAAAGCCCACCTGCAGCATCAAAGACCCAACACAGCCAAAAATAAATAAATAAAATAAATAAATTTATTTTAAAAAATTGGGGGAAGTTTGTTAATGAAAAATGACCTGGTCTCTCTTATATGAGTACAAGTAAGTATATCTTCATTTTCTCTTTGAAATAAAGACATTGCTCTTCTGAAAAGCAGTGTGCGACTTGAAAGATGCATGTCTTGGTCCACGGAACAAACCTTGCAGTGCAGATCAGATCAACACCACAGGAGAAACCAAACACTGAGAAAATTCTAATGCCCTTCTCTGATATATGTATTTCAGAAACAAAAATACTTGGACTTGGAGGGCATTACACTAAATGAAGTAAGTCAGACAGAGATACTCTATGATATCATGTATATGTGGAACCTAAAAAATACAACAAACTAGTGAATATAACAAAAAGAAGCAGGCTCACAGATATAGAGAACAAACTAATGGCTACCAATGGGGGGGCAATATGGGGAGGGGTGAGTGGGAGGTACAAACTATTAGGTGTAAGATAGGCTCATGGATGTATTGTACAACACGTGGAATAGAGCCAATGTTTTGTAGTAAGTGTAAATGGAAAGTAACCTTTAAAATTTGTATAATTTTTTTTTTAAATCAAAGAGGTTTAGAGTTGAAAAGGACCTTAGAGATCATTTGATCCATGTTTATTGGCCTAAGCTCAAAAACCTAGACTTGTGCAGAATCCTCCGGGTATCATTAATCAGAAGAGAAATCCACTGTGTTGGAATAGAAAAATGCATTAGGCTACATAGTAAGTATTTAAATGTATTTGGTTAGAGGATCTGTAGAGGATTAATTACATGGTTCTATTTAACTAAGTTAGTGGAAACAGAATATATTACATTGATGGCTCTTAGGAAAGAAAACTAAGGCATAAAATATAACTTGGTGTTTCAATAGGATGTATGTTTATAAACTAGCCTCTCCTTCGATTGTGTGTGTGAGTGTGTCTGTCTGTCTGTCTGTCCTTCCCTTCCTGTCTCTCCTGTCTTTCGATGCCTCAAGCACAGGCTTAGCCAGCCAGCTTCAGCCATGGGCTAACTTGACCTTCCAGAGCCTTCATCCAAAGCAAAGGCTCCTGAATTCCTTCACCTGGACTTCGTCACAACCTCAACAATTCTTTCCTGAGTCCCTCCCCTTCCATGATTTCTTTTGAATGAGACACTTTTTTTTCCTTCCTAGGGTCCAGGCAAGGAGTGAGAAAATGTATCCTAGCCATCTATGTTTTCTCACAGAACAATACGGGCACATTCTTTCTCTAGTGATTTGTCCTGAAACACCGGAGGCTTAAAAATTTTCTCACAATTGGCAAAATTGTAATTGGTGGGTTAAGTTTGGTGTGAATGATAAAAGTCAAGTTAAGTTTGTCTCAGAAGTTTGCTCGCCGCCCCAGCACCTCTTCCTCGTCCTCTTTCCTGGAGTGTTAACCTATCCGGGCAATATCCATGGTCAATGAATCCCTGCTCGAGTATTGAGAATGGCTTTGGGTAAGACCCTGGGGATGATTTACATTTTGAAAGGTGACTCTTAAAGGTCAAAAAGTCATTAAGAACCCGTAAATTAAGCTCTCAAGTGGAATGGCAGGCAGCAGAATAATTACCTTTTAGGCTATTCTTATCCTTCTTAGGGCATCTTCAAATGTTGTAATTTATGGTTAACGTTCACTGAGCGCTTACAGCATGTCAGGCACTGTTTGAATGCTTTGCATGTAGTAACTCATTTAACCTTCACAACAAACCTGGCAGGGGGTTCCCATTATTACTCTCATGTTAATGATAAGGAAAGGCACAGAGAGGTCAAATTACTTCTCCTGGGTCACACAAGGTAACTAGAAGAGCCTGGATCGAATTCTAGGTATTGTGACCACAGAGCCATGTACATAATCACTAGACTCTACTGCCTCTGAAGTCATACCTTGGTTGGCTTGGAGGGCTGATTCATCTTTTGTTTCTTATAAGAAAACTGTTTACTCCAGTGAGTTTTTACTTTGCCTCCCTTTCAGATCCCTAATTATGTGTCTATTAACCCATAACAAAAATCGACTTTCTTTTTCTTAATTCATTGTACTTTTTCATGACATTTTTTGGGGACTCATCATTCCTCCACCCTTGAGCCCAAACTCTGTGGGTTATCTACCCAAAGACATGTTCCCGTTTGTTCCCCATCTGGCTGAAATTCCTTTTGAAGATGGAAGTTTAGGCTTCAAAGAAATCCTTGAGCGTGTACCTTAGTGAATCTACCCATCTCTTCCTGCCAACCATATTGTACTCCTTTCATCTTACTCAGGTCCCCCAGCTACTCCCTTATCTCCACAAACCTCTCCTGAAGAAAGAACTTAGCCTGAAGCAACCAGCCCCATAAAGGAAATGGGTAGGCTTCTGAGTGGACAGCTCAAGTTGTTTTTATTCACAGCCCTTCAAAACAGGCAGGGTGAAAGCCTCATCCACCACCGTTCTGCTGATGGATTGAGGAAGAAGGAGCTTGTCACAAACAGAATTAGCACTAAGTAATTTTCCCTTTCTTTATGTAAACAACCGCCTTTTAATATACAACAACCTTCGAGGTGTTCAGGTTACAGGCTTATTTTAAGATCTTTTGTTTACCTTTTGATCTTCATAGGTCATTGACATCCCATTTAGCCCTGGTGACCCTGTTTATACAATTTTGATATAAATTTAAAAGTCTTCTTGGAGATAACATTAACATTCTTGATCTCAGTCTACCACATAAGCAAACAACAGCCTTTGCTCAGCCCTGTATATAGTTGTTCAAAAGCTTCAATGCAGACTCCAATATTCAGAGAAAATCTGACCAAATTTGCTTTCCAAATTTTTATTCTAAGCAGGATAAGACCCCAGTTTATGTCAACTTCAATGAAATATCTTATGGGACCTTTGGTAGCATGGAGTCATAATTCTAATAAAACACCGGATAGAGTGTTAACAAGAAGAGGCAGATCACTTATAGAAACACTAGGGATCTATTTCTCTACCTTAGCCTGAATTTATTTTTTTAAGTATATTTTATTTTATTTTAAGGTATTTTATTTATTTATTTATTTATTTAATTTTTATTTTTTGGCTGTGTCGGGTCTTAGTTGCGACACTCGAGATCTTCGTTGCAGCATGCGGGCTCTTCCGTTGTGGCGCACTGGCTCTTTGTTGCAGCGCATGGGTTTCTCTCTAGCTGTGGCCCAGGGGCTCCAGAGCACGTGGGCTCTGTAGTTGTGGTGCGCCGTCTCCAGAGTGTGTGTGCTCTGTAGTTAGTGGCACGCAGACTCTCTAGTTGAGGCGTGCGGGCTTAGTTGCCCCACAGCATGTGGGATTTTAGTGCCCCGACCAGGGATCGAACCTGCGTCCCCTGCATTGGGAGGCGGATTCTTTAGCACTGGACCACCAGGGAAGTCCCACCTGAATTTAAAATGTACTTCTTGTTCACTTAAAACTCAGAAGGTAGTGTTCCTCCTAAGCTTTTTGATTCTCTACCAGGGATTGATTAGAGTAACATTTTTGGAATTGGCTTTTTTACTCTATTTTTTAAGGAGGGAAGCTCTCAGTTTCCATACTGAAAAAAAACATTTTGATAACTACTCCTTTATAAAAGCATATTAGTCTTGTGAATAATTGCAAATATTTTAAAAACCATATTTCTGATAGCCCTCTCTGCTCCCGTTAGTTCATCCTTTATGAGTACACACTTGAACTAAACCCTCATCCTATTTTTAATGAAAAACTGTTATATTCCTGGGCAAAGAATCTAATCTTGCAATACAGATAAATTAAAAGGCTTATATTATCTCTTTCTTTAGAAGTTTATCCTGAGGAAATAATTGGGCAAGTTTACAAGAAAGAGATGTACAGGGCGTTGATTTCAGCATAATCTATAAATGTAAAAAAAAAATGGAAACAAACTAAATGTACACCAGTAAAAAGCTATTAAGAAACATACGGTACATAAAAACAATTGCATACTTTGCAGCCATTAAAAATGATGATGTGGGGGCTTCCCTGGTGGCGCAGTGGTTGAGAGTCCGCCTACCAATGCAGGGGACACGGGTTCGAGCCCTGGTCCGGGATGATTCCACATGCTGTGGAGCAACTAAGCCCATGCACCACAACTACTGAGCCTGTGCTCTAGAGCCTGTGAGCCACAACTACTGAGCCTGTGCTCTAGAGCCTGTGAGCCACAACTACGGAGCCTGTGCTCTAGAGCCTGTGAGCCACAACTACGGAGCCTGTGCTCTAGAGCCCGTGCTCCGCAATAAGAGAAGCCACCACAATGAGAAGCCCACGCACCGCAACGAAGAGTAGCCCCGGCTCACCGCAACTAGAGAAAGCCCACGCACAGCAACGAAGACCCAATGCAACCAAAAAAAAAAAAAAGAAAAGAAAAAATAGTTGTTACATTTTGTTTATGGCTAAATATGCTGTTTTAACTATTATTCTCTTTATTATCAATATGACAGTTAAACATGGTGTCTTGTTTATATTTATATAATAATAATGATGTAATAAGTTTTGTCACAGACTTACCCAATAAGAGTCCAGACGTCAGAAATCCAGGATGGGTACAGTGGCTCCATGATGCCAGTGGAGAAATGGCTTCCTTGTCTCTTTCCACCCAATCATCTTTAGCATGTTCTTGTCACCCTTGGGGTCCCAGGATGGCTGCTTTGCTTCCAGCATCTCTGTTTGAGGCAGGAAGGAGTGAAAAAGCAAAGGATAAAATGTATTTACCAGTTAGGACTGTTCTCACCCCCTGCTCACACATCCACATATTTTAAGGAGCCTTCTTGGAAGTCTCAACCAAAAACTTCCTCTTTTTTTTTTTTTTTTTCCAGTGGCCAGAGCTAGGTCAGATGATCACTTCTATCAAGGAATTCAGCAGTATTTGTTTAATGTTCCCCCAATCTGGGGTTCTGTAGACAGGAATAAGAGAATAGAAAGACAAATATCATATGATATCACATATATGCAGAATCTAAAAAAATGATACAAATGAACTTATTTACAAAACAGAAATAGACTCAAAGACATAGAAAACAAATTTATGGTTACTAAAGGGGAAAGGGGGCAAGGAATAAATTAGGAGTTTGAGATTAACATATACACACTACTATATATAAAATAGGTAAACAAGGACCTGCTGTATAGCACAGGGAACTATATTCAATATCTTGTAACAGCCTATAATGGAAAGAATCTGAAAAAGAATATACATATACGCTGAATCACCTTGCTGTACACTTGAAACTAACACAACACTGTAAAGTAACTATACTTCAATTTAAAAAAAAAAAGAGAATAGGTATTGAGAAAAAACTAGCAGATCTTCACAACTGACAAACAGTGATAATATGGTGATAATCATAAAATTTACCGCATGTGCTATAAGCCAGGTCAGTGAGCTTTGTACATTTCATCTTGTTTAATCTTCACTTGCAAGTCTAAGAGTTAAGTACCCTTGTTAGCACCCATTTTAAAATGAAGAAACAGACTTGTGAAGGTGGAGTACGATGTTGAAGGTCATTCAATGGTGGAGGAAGAACTTGAGTCCAGTCTATCTGACTCCAAGTATGCCTGAACTATCTTGGTTTTAGCCCTGCAAGTCCCAAGTCCCCGGCCACATGTCAGTCCTGGAACAGTGAGGTCACCCACTGGAGCCCAAGCAGTATTAGGGCAGCAGTTCACTCAAAGTTTGTTAAATGGTTAATTTAATGAATATTGTTTTTTTATTTTTCATAAATGTTAAAGACTTGAAATATATTAAGGATACAGCCTTTCGTAGTATATATATTTTTCTTTTCTCTTGTCATTTTTACAACTCTTTTGGATATACAGATATTTTAAAGTTTTCTGTGTCAAATCTATATACTTTCCTTTATGGTTTCTTCCTTTGCTTTTATGTTAAGATATTCTTCCCTACCCTACACACCAAAAGTTATATTTTCTTCTGGTTCTTTTATAGTTTATATTGTAATTCAAAGCAAATTGGGGATATGAAGGAATGGGAAAGACTTTCATGCACATTTTCCAGGTTTGGGTGAGTGTTTCAGAACTGTAAGTGTGTATGTTTGAAATGTTCATCTCAGGAACTGATATAAAATCCATAACTTAAGGAAACTTAAGGAAACTCTTTCCAATACATTTCCAATGTGCGGTGCACGTGTATCTGCTCTGCAATCGGCAATCATGTCAAAATGTGTCAGCTCATTTCATATTCTTTTCAACTATCCTTTGATTAAGGGAGTGCTTTATCAACTTATGTAAGCCTGCAGTCAAATGTACCTCAAATTATTAGCACCTGGTGAGAAATGTCCTTCCCATTCTAACCCCCAGTTCATCATGTATTATTTGTAATTCACTTGATGATTCTGATGTATCGTTATAAATACTATATGTGATTAAGTCTTTACACTGAAACTTCGTTCTTATAATAACGGCAGAAAATGTGGATTGCATACTGTGTTCCTCCTGATACAGATGCGTGGATCCAGACCAAGCAGGTGTAGTGCTAGCCTGAGATGATAAATCACCAGCCTCAAATGTCTTTATGTTGGGAAACATGATGTCATTAATGCTTTTCTTGCACCATTGGGTCTAACTTAGTTTTCTAGCCAATGGAATGGGAAAATATTTGTGAATTCACTGTTATTGAACAGTGACAATAGGAACTATTTTATCAGAAAACAAAATTAATGTTCTAGTCCAGGCATTGGCAAATTTTTGGAAAGAGCCAGATGGTAAATATTTCAGGTTTTGCTGGTCATAGGATCTCAGTTGCAACTACTCCCCGCTGCCTTTGTAGCAGTCCTAGACAGAACATAAACAAATGGACGTGGCTGTGTTCCAATCACGCTTTTCTTACAAAAGTAGCTGGTTTGCATGATTTGGCCCCTGGGTTGTAGTTTTCCAACTGCTGTATAGTAAGACATTTCATTCCCTCACAACTGAGTATTTCTTATTTGAAAGGTGGATATTAGTGCTATCCTGGAATATATTAAACAAGTGCTCTTATTATTGGTACTTTAAGACTTTGACTTCAATGTCTTAAGGTTAAATTGGAAAACCCTTTGAAAATTCTTTGAAGAATCATGATGTAAACGTGGAGTTGTTTGTGAGGATAGGTTATATCAATCTCAAACAAAAAGTTAGTGTCTCAAAGCTTCTTTGATATTAGTGGCTTATAACTTTCTTCCTAAACAAAAATTTCTACCTCTGCCAGAGAGCTGGACTCAGCACTTAATTCCAGTGGGGTCCAGGCTTCGATAGAGGGAAGCATATGGGTACCATACATTTGGTAAAGTATGTCTCTATGTAATCACAAAAATTGAATACCTCCAGAGCTCTAAATTACAAATTTGGCTGGTTTGCTTTAATGCACAGTTTCTATAATACATCACAAAGGTGGTAAATACAAGACTCATCCTCAGTATCATTGCTTCATGCTTTAGTAAATCAGGATGACTGACTTTTGCTTTTATTTTGACCTGATTTGTTATTAATCATATTTCCAAGCTAAATATAATTTTGGGGGGTAGATTTTATATATATATGTCAAAATATATGTATATTTTGAGGGGGTAGGTAATATACATATGCATGTATGTATACATATGTGTACATATATATTTAATATACACATATACATATTTTAAATATACATATATATATTCTTTAAAATCAGTCTTTTACAGACTCCCAAATATCCATGAATATTTATTCCTGCCAAATTTCAATGCTATCAGTGCTTAAAGGAGGTTGGATTTCATACTTTGAAAAATTTCCCAGTCTGTGATAGGTCTTTTGTTGTTATTGTTCCTGTATTTTGTTTGTTTTTATACTCTTGGAAGGCACTTTGTTATTCTTTGGTGGTTGGCTTATTTTTGGAGACATTCCCAAAGTAACTGGAGATAACATATAATGAGTAAGGTAGATGTTCAAGTTGGGGATGTATCTTTGTTCAAAAATAAGATGTAAAAAAAAAAAAAAAGATGTAATGTTAAAGTAACGGGACTGGGGAAGATGGCGGAAGAGTAAGACGCGGAGATCTCCTTCCTCCCCACAGATACACCAGAAATACATCTACACATGGAACAACTCCTACAGAACACCTACTGAACGCTGGCAGAAGACCTCTGACCTCCCAAAAGGCAAGAAACCCCCCACGTACCTGGATAGGGCAAAAGAAAAAAAATAAACAGAGACAAAAGGATAGGGACGGGTCCTGCACCAGCGGGAGGGAGCTGTGAAGGAGGAAAAGTGTCCACACACTAGGAAGCCCCTTCGCGGGCGGAGACTGCGGGTGGCGGAGTGGGGGAGCTTCGGGGCCGCGGAGGAGAGCACAGCAACAGGCGTGCGGAGGGCAAAGCGGAGAGATTCCACCACAGAGGATCAGGGCCGACCGGCACTCACCAGGCCAAGAGGCTTGTCTGCTCAGCCGCCGGGGCGGGCGGGGCTGGGAGCTGAGGCTCCGGCTTCAGTCGGAGCGCGGGAGAGGACCGGGGTTGGCGGCGTGAACACAGACTGCAGTGCGCCACGGCTAGCCGGGAGGGAGTCCAGGAAAAAGTCTGGACCTGCCGAAGAGGCAAGAGACTTTTTCTTCCCTCTTTGTTTCCTGGTGCGCGCGGAGAGGGGATTAAGAACGCTGCTTAAAGGAGCTCCAGAGACGGACGCGAGCCGCGGCTAAAAGCGCGGACCCCAGAGACGGGCATGAGACGCTAAGGCTGCTGCTGCCGCCACCCAGAAGCCTGTGTGCGAGCACAGGTCACTATGCACACCCACCTTCCGGGGAGCCTGTGCAGCCCGCCACTGGTCACTGGAGCCAGGGTCAACTCCTCCGGGAGAACGCACGGCGCGCCTCAGGCTGATGCAACGTCACGCCGGCCTCTGCCGCCGCAGGCCCGCCCCGCACTCCGTGCCCCTCCCACCCCCGGCCTGAGTGAGCCAGAGCCTCCGAATCAGCGGCCCCTTTAAACCCCGTTCTGCTTGAGCAAAGAACAGACGCCGTCCGGCGACCTACACGCACAGGCGGGCCAAATCCAAAGCTGAGCCCCTGGGAGCTGTGAGAACAAAGAAGAGAAAGGGAAATCTCTCCCAGTAGCCTCAGAAGCAGCGGATTAAAGCTCCACAATCAACTTGATGTACCCTGCATCTGTGGAATACATGAATAGACAACGAATCATCCCAAATTAAGGAGCCGTGTGGATGAAAGGCTCTTGGTGCTGCAGCCAGGAGTTAGTGCTGTGCCTCTGAGGTGGAAGAGCCAACTTCAGGACACTGGTCCACAAGAGGCCTCCCAGCTGCACATAATATCAAACAGCGAAAATCTCCCAGAGCTCTCCATCTCAACGCCAGCACCCAGTTTCACTCAACGACCAGCAAGCTACAGTGTTGGACATCCTATGCCAAACAACCAGCAAGACAGGAACACAACCCCACCCATTAGCAGAGAGGCTGCCCAAAATCATAATAAGTCTACAGACACCCCAAAACACACCACCAGACGTGGACCTGCCCACCAGAGAGACAAGATCCAGCCTCATCCACCAGAACACAGGCACTAGTACCCTCCACCAGGAAGCCTACACAACCCACTGAACCAACCTTAGCCACTGGGGACAGACACCAAAAACAACAGGAACTACGAACCTTCAGCCTGCAAAAAGGAGACCCCAAACACAGTAAG